TTATTCATGTCAGGCAAAATACACAGTAGGCACTGAGTTTCTTAGGCTGTGTGTGAAAGTAACAAAGATAGTTTTGGGTGGATAATGACGTGGGACACCCAGGCTGGTGCCAGCAGAATATGCAGCTGGGTTTAGATCAGCATTTGGCAGGTGTCCAGATTCAGGTTTGGAGTTAAAGCTTGTTCAAGGTTTTTTCATCCAGATGCACTCAGAAGTGAGAAAAGGGAAGGCATTAGACTAAAATTGGGAGGAAGGATTTATTTATGTTACAGTGCTCTCATGTAGAATAACATTGTGCAGATCTTCCATGCAACTAGTATTAGATGTGCCAACTCTTATGCAAGCAGCAGGGGAAAACAAATGTTTGTTTCAGAGGCCTTTAAACTTCAGGCTTTGTTACTTTTAATATGTTTACACATTTTAGTCTGGTACAGCTGGTTCTACGTGGCTGTGGAAAGCATCACAGAAACCTTGTACACATGTATAGAACTACTAAATACTGATAAGTTCTTCTGAAAAAGTAGCTTGCATCCTGTAAAAAATAACATTTTGGCTAAAGCTGCTTCTGGGATCTATTTTGTTTATTTTTGTGAGAACAGGCACTGGCTGGGAATGATAATGTGGGTTTTTACATGCAGGCAAAACAAGGTGTAATCAGTGAAGCACTATGGCCCCATCTCCAACAGCCTCTGTACCTGGCAGGGAATGTCTGTGAGAACAGGGATAAATTGTCAGGCTTGACTTTGTGATTATTGCCCTTCAGGCAGGAGCTGAGAAAAGCAACAGAATCTGCTTTTCTACAAACAGAAGCTCTAAGTAACACAAAGTGTAAGACAAGGGACACAAGCAAGTGAAGAGCATTAGCCAGTTTGCCACTGACGGGCTGTGAGGAGTGGCAGTGATCTTGTGCTGAATGAAGGGCAGCTGTGCAGGAGGGACAGAAACTTCTTGTTTGGAAGCACACAGCATGATTCCAACGTGTGGGCCTGGATGTGCCAGGGAACTGACATGCTGCTTTTCTAATGCACACCCTGCAGGATGCTTCCTTCCCTTCTGCTTCTCTGTTGCATGGAGACAGTGGGACAGCTTTGTGGTATCTTCCCATTTAAGACCTTAACACCTTTTCCCTATTCTTTATGGCCTTTCAAAGTTGTCTGTGTATCAGCTGGGCAGTTTTACCTGTGCAGAAACTTTGTGCCAAGAGGGGTGGGTTGATCCTGAGAAGGAAATTATCTGACAGAGAGTTTGGATCTGTTGGCTGCTTGATGAATATGAGTTGGCATCAGTGATTTTGTCTGTGTGTTTGTAGCAGGGCACTCAGCACTAATCTTCACATGACTTTTTTTGGCTTGACAAGCATGAGTCGGTGGATTAACAGCTGTTACTAGTTCATGCTCTCACCATGTCATAAATCAAAAGCCCTACAAAGTTTTAGGGGAAAACATTTGAAGCTTTGAGCCGTGGGCTGCAGTTACCTGGGCAGAAACAAGGGACTGGCACCCTGCTCTCTGCTTGTCCTTAGCTGCAAGGATCCTCCTTCTCCCTGTATCCCAGAGTTACACCCTGATTTCAATTTAGGACTTTTGGCAGTTTGGCTTATTTTTGTTTCTTAATATATGTATTTTTTAACGTAGCATTCCAGGCTTAGGTCTGATTGTTGAGAGGGCGAGCTGGAGGAGCGATGGCTTTGAAGACAGCAGGACAGATGAGCAGAGCTGCAGGCAGAGCTGCCGCTCCGCTCTCCTTGGCTGCCAGCAGCTGCCGGAACGGGTTTTGCACCTTCTGAGTGCGATCAGATCCATGACCGGGTCGGCAGCCCGCGCTGCCCGGCGGGCACAGCAGGACCACGGGCTGCAGCGTCCGGCCCGGCCTGTGCCCCCGCCGGGCGGCCCCGGGGACCGAGCTCCGCCC